TCAATATAATGAATTACAATATATAATAATTTTTAGTTTACTTTTGAATTTAATAATGCACTTTTATTATTTTTATTCTATTAACCATTTGAAAATAAAACGTAGAAACAAAATAAGAATATTAAAAAAAAGGAGAAAAAATAAATAAAACTACAACTTAATTATTTATATATAATTCGATTCAAATCTCATAGAATTAGGTAGAAAATAAATTCAGAATATACTCAGCGACAAACTCAAATTGCAAAAGCTTGCATAATAACAAATTAAACACAACTCCAAAAAAGTTCAGATGCAAATGGAAAAGTTTCTGTTGCTTGTCTGTGTAGATGTGTGTGTTTCACACAGTCATTTCGTGGGTGAAACTGGTTTTCATTAATTTAATTACTGATATTTGCATATTTTTGTGCAGCTTTCGTCAAATTAAAATACACGTGACAAAAACTTAACGTGAGAGAACTCATGAGTCTCGTCTCTTTGTTAAATAAATAATTTATCCATTTGTTGCACTCGCAAATATAAAACCTTCTGTTCGATGTAGCGAATTTGGAATGCTCTTTAAATTATGACATTTAATGATAATATGAAAATTAAACTTTGTTACTTTGAAAAAATTACAACGAGCATAAAAGGCTTTAGTTCTAAAATGTAAAATTATTTTGAGTTAAATGTTTAAAATGAAATGTTAACAAAGTTGTATAAACTTCTTATTCGTCTATCTATTGCAATTATTTACTGTCTGCATAAAAGCTTTAAATAATTGGCATACACCATTTAGCATTTAATTAATAAGAGTGCAATGTAGTGTAGCTTCAAGTATAATTTAGTAGTGTATAAAAGTATTGTATTGTATTGCGTCTTTTGGCATTGAGTTAATTATATTAACAGCTTTCACAGAGCTGTTAGCATGAGCTAACACATTAGCTTTTAATTGGTATAGACATATATTTATAGCTTATAGTCATAAAGTGCGCACAGCTTGATTTCATTCAACTCTTTCGGCATTCGGAATTTCGATAACTGTCGAAAGCTATGCGTAATCCGCATAGCTTATCATAAATTCCAAGCATAACTGAAGACAAAAATTTGCTGCTTGTCGATCCAAAAAGCAAATTAATACCAAAATGCGCATTGTTTCGGGCTTCCCTTTTAGAGACCCTTTCCCCACCTTCCCCTCACCCTAAGAAACCCGCAGGCATTGCAGCTACAACCATTTTTGATTGCATAAGATATAATAAATAATTTTTGGGCTACTTTGGCAAAGCATCTTTCTCTCTCTCTTGCCTTCCCTTTCCCTTGCTCTTTTTGGCTGTGAAAACGTAAATAGAATATTTTATGCAATTTATTTTGTTTCGAATTGAAGTGTCGAAATATTCACTGGGTGTTGCTAATGCACTCGTGCGTTCCATGCAATTGAAATTATGATGGGAGCAGTTGGCCTCAACAACAACCAGATAAAGCACAGTTCGTGTGGCCAAAGACAAATTTGAGTGTGAATAAAGCATTCTATTGTATTAAATAGAATTTATGAGTGGCTAGCTAAATGAAATTGTATAAGAAAATTTATGAAAAATATCTCTCTTATGTGGCTGTAGCGGAGCTCTGAATATTGAAAATAAATTCTTTTTGTAAGAAAATCTTACAAAGCAGATGAAAAGATATTAATAATTAATATGTAAATGCGCAACAAGGCTTGAAGTCATGGATAAGTCTTCGGTAAGTGTTTGGTTAGTCTTGGTTCAGTCAATAATTTATAAATTTGTATATTTATCTGATTTTAATATTACTTACTCATTTAAATTTTACTTGAAAATAACACATAATAATCCTTAAATAAATTAATAATAAAACAAGTAAGAACGTTGCAGTCGGGCGATACCGATTGCAGAAGACTCATTCACAGCCCAAACGCTGTCAACCAGAGTATATAGTGCAATTTTCAAGTCTAGTGCGCAACAAAAAACAGGGCATGATCCCATTTAAAATGGGAAAATCATCGATAGCTATTGCTATGATCATTGCATAATTGCATTCAAATTACATGCATATGTATATAATTTATACAATTTTGACTTTTAATAATATACATGTATTTATATCCATATATTGGATACCGGCTTCAAGCTAGCAGCAGATCAGCGCGATTTTACTATACATGTGCACACACTCATCGTCTATTCTATGCGTACAGACAGAAGCGCGCCTTTTCTCACATTCTTAGAATTTCGATTGATTTCTGGACTTTCTAGCCGTTACTGTAGTTTTGTCTGATGACGCTCTCTTATTAAGCTATTCTATTTTAGCAGCTGAGTGCTCGAGCAAAGCAATGGCGCGGGTGCTAAGGGCGACGCAAGTAACGTTAGAGTAGGGAGGTTCGAACCTCTACTATGTTTTTTTTTTTTTTTTTTTCATACATTTTTCGTTTTTTATAAAATAGATATTTTATTGGGAAGGTGCGAGCTTGACTGAATGGCACNTTTTTTCAGAATACGCTGCCTGAGGTGGGTATAATGGCATTGTTAGATAAGTTGGAACACTAATCAGAATACATACATAATTATATGAAAAAAGCACATAATTGATTTTCAGCAAAAACAACATCATAATATTTTCAGCTCAAAAAAGTATCCGGACTGTATAAATATTATAAAAATTCTACTATAAATGAAATATAAAATGTAAATAAATTTTTGATGAATATAAAGTGCAAATTTTCTTGATAAAATCGTAATAAATTATTTTCTTTATAGTCGTTAAATTAAAAATTAATTTCCATTATGCCTATAATATTATATAACTAAGGCACATACATAAAAAATACAAAAATAATTTTTAGTTTGTATATTATATAACTAAGGCACATACATAAAAAAATACAAAAATAATTTTTAGTTTTTATAACACAAACATAAATAATTAAATAATATATTTTATTTAATATAACAATAAGACTAATTTTCCCATCTTGTTGCTTCAATTTGATTTGATTTTATAATTTATGTATCAAGTTTTTTTTTTCAAGATGGGAGAGCATACAAAGTGCGCTTTTGTATAGCCACAATTTTACTATTTTCCTTTTTTTCTGTTTTGGGTTAGCGTAGTCAGCTCCCAATTTCATGCAGCTGACCACGAGCGCTGTGCCTTGTAATTGCTAAGCTCTGGATTAAACAATTTCCACATTTAACATGGAGCATCTTTAACCTTTGCTACAATAAATTTCGGAGGCTCTCTGTCTCTGCTTCTTCTTCCTCTTTATTGTGAGCCCTGTGCAGGGGCTTAATTTTTGGCATTGCGATAAGAATTTTTAGCGACGCTGTCATTTTGGTTGGGCTTTGGCTTTTACGAGCCGGCGCTAAAGACGCATATACTTGTTTTTTTTTTTTTTTTTCTGGTGGAGAATCAGGTTGTGCTTGTTGTCTGTCTAATTAGATGCTTTGCCTAATTAGTTGGTTTTATGTGAGGGCTCTTTATGCCTTTGGCTTACCTTTTTAGATGTCAGCCAAAGCACAGCGGCTGCGGCAGCGCTCCGCCCAGTCCAGGCCAAGCTTCTACTCTCCTCCCTCCCCTTGTGCTCGGCAGTGTGTAGGTGCCCTGTCGATATGCTCGTATATGGAGAATGTTATAAACTTTAACGTTTATTAAAAAATTCCATGCACAAGCAAATATCCACAAGGACCAGGACAATAATGTGAACTAAAGCAGCGCATTTTCTGCTGATTTTTTCTGGCAGCGCCCGGCGCCCTTCCCGAAACCCCAACTTCTTTATCGAGCTGCGAAGTTTGCTTGTACGCTTTCTCTTAGATTTTTCAATTTCTTACAAAACGTTTACTGCATTCCTTCACCTGACTGTCTTTGATGCGTTATATAAGAAAGAAAAAGGGAGAGAAAAAGAAAAGGAAACGAAAACATCTCACAGTTTGTTCCTTATATGAAGTGCTCGTAACTGGCTCGAGGGTTCTCGGTCTCAGTCCTAGTCTGATTCTCGTTTGGCTCATCTGGAGTTTCTCTGCTAAACTAAAATGAGCTGAACCGAACCGAACTTGTCACAAAAGAATTCATTTTGTCGCGCTTGGAATTTTTGCGCAAAATATGCGCTCGGCTGCTGCTAGTGTGTGTGTGTGTGTGCATCGCTCCTAAACAATACTTTTTCTTTATTATTTGCTGGAATTCAATAAATATTACTAAAACACTTCGCAATCGGGCAAATCAACAGAATTTTCACATCATTTTCATTTTGATATTGCCTTCGCTTCTGTTCGTTTTCTATTTTTATAGGCATATTTTGTGACCCTTTTTTTAAGTGTCCTGCGAGTCCTTGGCGGCATTTTATGACGCGTTTTGTTACCAAAACGAAAATTTTTGGTAATATGCGCACATTTAATTGCCTAATTGTTTTGTTCTTGGTATTTTATTGCAATGCCTCCACATTGTTTTTGTTTTTTTGTTTTTGTTTTTTTACGAGCGCACGCATTCTTTTTATGACTTAATTACTTAAATGCGTTTTATTTTGCATGCGGTTATAATCATAAACAAATTATAGAAGTGGAAATTATGATATCTCTCGTTCCCTCTGCGGACCTGGCCATTCACCTTTTATGGCCGCCGATGAGATTTTTATCAGCCTCTGGGGCCGAGCGAGAGAAGCTTAAGTATATATAAATATTTATAAATTATAAAAATGAAAAAACTTTTGGTACTCTCCCGAATAATAATCAATAATCCTCATTCATGCTTGACTGTGTTTTTATTTACGGCTGGCATTGAACGGTTATGCAATTAAATTAAGTATACAAATAATTCTCGTTCTCCTCTTAGCAAAGGTCAAGCAATTATTATTGCCCTTACATTTCCAAGCCAATAACACATTGAAATTATTGACATATCAATATCATTAATTTAAAAAAATATTATTTATGAAAATAGTAGAGCTAAATTTAGCTATGGGTGAATATTCTATTCATAAATATGTGTTTAATGCCTAATGGGATTAATATTATATACACATTCGAATATGTTGCAATATCGACTATTGATAATAAAATGATAATAATATTATATTCACAAATTTAGTGCCTAATGGGATTAATATGATATACATAAATGAAAATGTTTCAATGTTGATTAATGATAATAAAATGAAATAATATACTATAATATAATATGTTTATATTATACATGAACAAAACTGAAGATCTTTTTTCCAAACATAACTAAGTATGTACTAATGTTTATATTTATTCTATATTTTTCTTAATTTGGGCAAGCTCACTTTTAGTTGTCAGGGTTTTACTAATTATATAAAATGGAATAATTTTATTCTGTTTAACAATATTATTTCGTAACTTTCTTATATTTATATTTCATATAAAAATTTTATAAGTGGATATTTGAATTTAAAATTTTTATATTGAAATTAAAATAATTAATATTTTCACATAATCTAGAAATATTTTAGCTACTATTCGAACTAAAATTATTTGGATATTAACTTATTAAATATACGGTAAGTAATAATACTAGTATATATATTTAGTATATATATTTACTTTATTTTCACTGTTAAAGGAATGTTAAGCACATTTGTGGATTTTATTATATAATATATTTTGTACTAGATTAATTGTACTCTCGCACTATTCGTAGTACTTTTGATACTCTAGCATTTTCCCATAGCTAAAGCCATCCCCTTCTGAACTCTTCTTTAAAACTGTAACCAAATTAAAGGTCCTCAAACGCATGTAGGTCACATTTCGAGTGAATGAAGCACATCCCACTGCAAAGCCCACTTTATCTTAGCATCAGCAAACGCAGAGCTCTGCCCTGCCCTGTCCTACCCTGTTCTCTGTTCTCTGTTCCTGGCCTTAATTATAATTTAAATTAACTGAATTTGCTTTATTTGATTTGGCTGCTTTAGTGTTTTAGTGGTTTGTTTGGCCCGTTTCTGACTTTGGCGCACATTTTCGCTCTAATTGCGTAGCCCCAAAAGCTGAGCTTCTGGCTTAGATAAGCCTTTTGCTGATGCTGACGGCCGGGCCCATTTGTGAATTTATTAGCCAGGTGCCTAGCCGTCCTTTCTCCCATTCGATTTTTTTTGTGGGTTCGAGGCTCCCGAGTTTTTTGTGAAATTAATGCGGCAAATACTAATTAATTGCGCAGGTGTTGCAGCTGCTTTACCTGCTGTTCTATGCTGCTGTATCTGTTGTTGCTGCACGGGATAAGCCTAATTGAATTTCTGTACGCATATTTTTTCTCTGTCCAACCCAGAGATCAAGCCCCATGCAACGTGACAGTAATAAATGATATATAGGCCATTCGGTTATTAAGGCTTTGTTTTATATAAATTTTTAATTATATAGACAGCATTATTGTAGTAGAAATACTGTTTGTTGCAAGACAAGTTCTTTCTATAACATTTATAAATTTAAAAAATATAATTATTTGGTTTTGATGGAAAAATATGCTTTTGTTTTAATTTATATACTTTGTATAATTAATTAAAAAATACATATCTGGGTTTTGGTATTCCATTTTCATATATTTCTCTGTGGATTAATTTAATATAAATGTAAAATTATATAAAATCAATTTATTTCTGCTATATAATGCATAATACTTAATTTTTGTTGTTTTGTATTTATTATTTATAGCTTGATTAACAATTTTTTTAAATTTGTTAACAATTAAATAGTTTTATTACAAATCTAAATTTTTCAAGTATATAGTATATAATCATTTTCATGATATTTATTATATTATATATTGTATAAATTTTAATAAATCATTCATATTTATTTTTAAGTATTTCTAACCAGTTTGAATTGTAAAATTAAATGTTTCTTTTCATTTAGCTTGGCTTTTTTATTATTCTCCTCTTTATGAACAAAATTAAACTTTATGAATCTTAATTTTTTTTTCTTTATTTTTTTTTATGTAATTGGTTTCTTCGTATTACTTTTAATTTTCATAGTTAATAAATTTATTTGCATGACTTGCCATAAAGAAGCTAATAAAATTTGCATATGACTCTGAATGCTTAGCAAAGCTTCAGCTCTCATCACGTTTCGGGACGGTTGACTACAGGTAGTGCTCCCGTGTGTGTGTGTGTGTGTGTGTGTGTGTGTTTGGCTGGGTCTCATGGGCCGCATATTCTTTTGGTCATATCGCATTATAATGTCAACGTAATGTTGTCGTCAAATAGTTTTTCGCGTGACATTTGCATTTCAGTTTAGCCTGACAGCCCGAGTCGCGTCTCAGCCCCTCCCGGGTCCAATGACATTTCATTAGCTTTAGCAGAACTTTCTCCTCTCTCTCCCCATTCTCTCTCTCTCTCTCTCTTTTTGTAACGTGTGCCATTGTTTTCATAGTCGTTTTATGTGCTGTTTATATTTTTATGGCATGCCATATAGTATTTAATATAGTGTATATGTATATGTATTTATATAAGGTAGATCTCGCTATTAGCCCCCAGTCCTTTGCCCTAACAGTCTATCATGTCTGCAATAAAAGAATTTTATTATTTTCTTATATGAAGTTATAAAACGTTGCCATTTCCATCATTTTATCTAGTTTGTTTTTTCTTCTTTATTTTTTTTATTTCACAGATACTTTTGTTGTTGCCTTTTGATACCCTCTTTTCATAATGATTATATATTTTCGGAAAGGATATATGTATTTAAATTAATTCTTTATATATTTCTAGAGTATGTTGAAAATAATTCAAAAACAATTGATGTTTTCTATTTTGAAAATAATAA